AGATGTTCCATTTATAGTTAATTCTTATAAATTAATAATAACACAAAACCAATTTGATCAAATAGAAGATTCAATCTTTGGTCATCAGAAACTTGAAACTGATGCATTCTAATTCAATTTTTTTCATTGTTTATATTATTTACTTGTTTAAAATAATATAAAGTATCTTTTACTATTTCATATTTTGTTAATAATTTGCATACTTTTTTATGTTTTTTTTTTATCTCTGTTTCTTTCTAGTTGATGGATGAATAAATTTGTTTATATATTCTACTCTTAATGTATATTCTTATTACCCAAAGAACTTTATTCTATCGATATTAAAATAATACATTTTTATTAAGTTATATTTTTCATAATTCTTCTTCACTTGGATTATTTTAATTTCATAAGTGTATTGAAACTGATAGATTTAATACTTAAATTGGTTGTTAGTAAATTAAAGAATAACACAAACAAATTGTGTAAATTTCTAATGAATTATAAATGGAGTAAATGTATATTTATTATTTTTGATTTTTAAAGAATTTGATAATGACCCAAAGAATGATGATAATTTACTATTAAAAACTTATCCTAAGTATTTGTCTTTCTTTTTTATTATATTTATGAAATTGAATAAGCATAAAAATTACAACAAATGTTTTTTTTTTAAATTTTATTCTGATATATTATTGTTCAAGTGATACAATAATTAGATATATAGTATTAAATGAAATATTAATATTGTTTATATAATTTAATTCAGATGTATTTAAGATATAGCATATCAGTATTGAATAGAACGTTATTAGAAAGTCTTTGATAATAATTTTTCTTTGAATTATTTCTTGATGGTATTGTTGTTTTTTACAGAAGTCTATTAACAAATTATTTATGTTAGAATCAGTTATGATGATATTGAAAGAATTATATCATTCCTTATCTTGTAAATTATATGTTACAAGGGTATTCTAATTTTAGTTAATATTTCAATGATAATACTTTTGAAGTGGGTTATTTGAAATAACAATAAAACAAAAACAAATCTGATACCAATTGAATATACTTTTTGCTCAAAATAAATATCTTATAATTAAATAACAACATGTTTCATATGATTTATTCTTACAATTTAATGTAACTATTCGGTTATACAAATAATGAAAAATAATCAGTGTTGAAATTGAACATTTTAATCTAACAAAATTTAAAATGTTCTAATTACATGATTATGTTCTAAATAATGTTTCTAACAAGTATTGTCCTTCTCAATCTATATAGATTAAAATACTACTAGACTTTTTAACCATTTAAAGACTTTTGTAATACTAAAAGTTTGTTAAAATGAAATTTGTGTATTTTAAAGAAGTTTCATTGTTGTTAATTGTTTTAAAGTGCTATGTTTCATTGTTAAATGATTAACTATAGATATCATTTTAAATTAATCATTGTTTTTGAATTATACTAGAAAAGTTAAAATGTTTTATCCATTATTTATCTCTTCTTTTTATTAGTCTAATATTTACATTTGTTCTTAATCAAATTATAAGAGAACCTTCAGAGGAGTTAACTTAAACATTCCAATACATTATTCACTTTTTGTGATCACTGTTTTTCTCTAAAACTTTTATCATATTAATTAAATAATCCAAAGAAAGATAATAAAACATCTCTTACTTTTCTTGCTTCCATAACTAAGTTTTCTACTTTTTTCTGTAATTTATTAAACAAAAAGAAAATTAAGAAGTAGTTAGACACATTGTATTACAACAAATTCGAGGTAGATTAATATCTGGAGCTAAAATAATTGTAGTTAATAAAATAAAAGTATATAAAAATATCACAAAAAAGTGTTTTATTTTTGTAGTTTCTTTATAGAGATAAAAGTATAGAAAAAGTAGAACCATTTAAGATAAAAAGAGTATTATTCCTTTGTTAACCTTTCAATAAGCCACATATTCCAATTGTTGATGGGGATATGTTCTTTCATACATTCTTCATAAAGCATTGTATTATCTTCAATAATTCTATTAGGAACAACGATTTTAATTGCTAGTGCAAGAGAATTAAATAACACCTTTCTGTCTGTTTCATCTTCTGCTTGAGTTAATTTGTATTGTTCGACAATTTCTTTTAATCTTTTAATTTCATCTTTAAGTTTTTGTTCATCTGAAATTTTACTTAAAAGCTCTTCTTTTTCAGATTGAATCTTTTCATTTTCTTTCTTCATTTCCAAAATGAAAGATTCTTGTGATTTTCTATTTTCTTTTTCACTTTCGAGCTCTTGTTTAAGTTGTAAAATTTCATTTTGGTAATCTTGAATTAGTTTGTCTTTTTGTGTTGATGAAGAAAGTATGTCACTTTGTGTTTTTTTTAACTCATCACATTCTCTTAGAGTTTGTTGTTGAATAGATTGATTTTCTTCAATTTGTTTTTTCAATGTATTATTCTCCTCTTCTTTTGAAACGTTTTCTTTTTCGAGTTCTTGAATTCTTTCATCTTTCATTTTTTCCATTTTTTCCAAGTCTTCTACTTTTTTATTCATTGAAGAAGAAAGAGTTTCAAAAGAAAGTTTATTTTCATTGTTTCTTCTTTCATGCTCACTATCTTTGTACTCTAGTTCTTTATTCAATCTTTCTATTTCTTGTTTTTTGAGTTCATTTTGTTTTT